GGCCATGTGGGAACCACTACACAATCTGCTGGCCCCTCTTGATAGTTAAAATTAACTTACTAGGGCCAGCTGGTGGCCTGATGGTTAGTTAAGGTGCTAGATCCTATATGGCTGACTGCGGGATTTGAGTCACAGACTGAGTGCCTTGAAGAACAAGCTGGGTGTCTTTGTGCACATGGCCAAAATTCAAGAGGATAATATTTTTTTATATTCTGATCATCTTTTCATGTCACTAAAGAATCTTCCACATCATATTTATGGGCTTTCTATATTCTATTAACTAGACATACCATGATCTACTTAATACCAGTTATTGAACATTTAGGTGTTTTTTAGTTTGGGGCTACTTAAACAATAATAAATGTATAGTTAAATCTTTGCAAACGTTAATGATTCTTTGATTAGAAAATATGCCTAGGCATAAAATAATTCTGGGCGTGTGTTTTTTGGGTTTTTTTTTTTGGTTTTTTTTTTTTTTTAGTTTCCTATAGGGTATGTTCTCTGACTGGAGAGAGAAAGTGAGAAATCACCCCCACACACACATCCCAGGAAAGATGGTCACACTACAATCCCTTCTCCTCCAGTCTCCTCCTGGGATCTTGTGCATGCATACACACATACATGGTGACTTGAAAGTCACCAGGTCTGGGACTCAGACCACCAGTCCAGCACCTTAACCACCATGTGACCTGCTGGCCCCTCTGGTCCTAAATTTTAAGACCAGTTAATATTTTGTACTATTTTGGGGCTGCCAGGTGGCATGGTGGTTAAGGCGCCAGATTCCCACATATCTACTATGGTTTGAGTCCTGGACCTGGCGGCTTGCTTTCTCACTTTCCCTCCCTCTCTGTGTGTCTCTGGTCAAATATTTAAAAATAATAATAAATAAAATTAAATAATTCTTCAGAAAAAAAATTGTACTATTTTATGCCACAACAGCAGATTATGAAATACCTGCTTCCTTGTGTTTTTGTGCCAACAATGGACATTGTGGTTTTTATTTTTTAATCTTTCTTTAAAGATTAATTTTATTTATTCATTCATTTATTTTAATTTGGCCAGAGAAACAGAGAAGGGAAATGAGAACGCAAGCCACCAGGTCTAGGACCCGAACCATGGTCGGCAATGTGGGAGCATCCAGCCACCACGCCACCTTCTGGTTCCTTTTTTTTTTTTTTTTTTTTGGTTCGTGCTATAGGGTGCATGTGCTTGCCAGAGAGACAGACAGAAAAGAAATCACCCGCCAGGGGGGAATAGACACGCCACAATTCCTTCTCCGTTCTCCTCTTGGGATCTTGGGCACATACACACGCACCGGCGTGAGTTTAAGATCCGGGACTCAAACCACGATTGACTACATGGAAGTCCAGCGACACAGCCATTATGCCAACTTATGGTCCCATGGTCGTATTTTCTAATCTTTCTCAATAGGTTAGAAAATACATCTTGGGGCCGACAGGTGGCATGATGGTTAAGACACTGGACTTGCACGTGTCCAACCGCGGTTTGGGTCTCAGACCTGGCAGCTTGCTTTCTCACTTTCTTTCTCCCTCTCTTTCTCTCTCTCTCTCTCTCTGTCTCTCTCTCTCTGGTGAACACACGTGCCCTATGGCAAATTAAAAATAAAAATAAATAAGTAGAATTTTTAAAAATACCTTCTTGTTTAAGTTTCTTTCTTATTAGTGATATAAGAATTTTCATATATGTTCATAAGGTCATTTGTATTCCTCTGCTATATACTAACTGTTCATGTTCCTCACATGTTGTCTGTTATATATGTGATATTTTGCCCAGTTTGCCTGTTAATTTTTTAAGGATTATTGTCTTTCATTTATGTAAGAGTCTGAGTAGATGTACACGTGCAAAAGAGAAAGAAAAGCACCCCTGATGGTGTCTGGTCACACTGCTATCCCTTTCCCTAATATTCCAGCTATTTGAGATCTTGGGCATGTATGCACTCAGCACATGTCAGATCAGCTGGGGATCTAAACTTGCCATTGGCCACCTAACATCCAGCACTGCAGATCATTATGCTACTACCTGCACCTTCTAGGCTGGGCACAAGTATGTGGACATTACACATACTCCTTTATAATCAGTAGGCCAACAAAGAATTCTCAAGGGGAATTAAAAGATATCTTGAGATGAGTAAAACAACAACAACAAAAAAAACAACATACTAAACTATGAGATTCAACCGAAGTAGTGCATAGAGAGAAATTTATAGTGATAGGCCTTGAAGGAAAAAGAAACCCTCCAATAACCTAACTTTCTACCTTAAAAACTAGAAAACGTCAAAGTAAGGAAACAACAGATATTAGAACCGTAATTAAAATGGAGAATAGAAGAAATAGTAAAATCAAAAGAAGTTGGTTCTTTTAAAAGATCAACAAATTGACAGGCCTCTAACTAGATTGATCAAGTAAAAAAAAAAAAAGACTCAAATTACTATGATCAAAATGAAAGAGGAGATCAACTCCCATGTGGTCAACTGTGGTTCAAATCCTGTCACCGGTGGTTTGGAAAATATGCGAGGAATATGAGCTTGCATATAGGACAAAGAAATGGAGAAGGGATTGCAGCATGACTGTGCCATGTTCAATAGTTCTCGTTCTCTCTCTCTCTCTCTCCTCTCTTGCAAGAGCATGCACTCTCTGGTAATTAAAAATAAGTAAGTGAAAGAAAAGAGGGAGGAGGGGGGAAAGGGAAGGAAGAAAGGGTATTCCTATCAACAAACAAGTGTATGCCAACAAATTAGATAACCTACATAAAATAGACGGATTCTTACAAAGACACGAACTACTGAATCTGCATTAAGAATAAAACCAAATTCTGGGAGCAGCAGTTAGTGTAATGGCTATGTCGCTAGACTCCATGTAGTAGACCACAGTTCGAGTCCTGGACCCGGTGGCTTAAACTCACGCCTGACTTGTGTGCGTTTGTGTCCAAGATCCCCTGAGAAGAATGAAGGAGAAGGGATTGCAGTGTGGCCATCCCCCTAGGGGGTTATTTCTTGCTTTCTGTCTTTCTATTTCTCTCTGTCTTTCTGGCGAGCGCATGCGCCCTATAGCAAAAACCTCTCCAAAAAAAATAAATAAATAAAACCAAATTCTGAGTAGACTAAAAAGTGAAGAGATTGAATTTCTAATTGAGAAGCGGGAAAATTCTTTTTTTTTTTTTGGAGAGGTTTTCACTATAGGATGCGTGTGCTCGCCAGACAGACAGAGAGAGACATAGAGACAGAAAGCGAGAAATCATCCCCCAGGGGGGATGGTCATGCCGCAATCCCTTCTCCTCCATTCTCCTCTCGGGATCTTGGGCACGCACGCACACGCGCCCGGCGTGAGTTTTAAGCCACCAGGTCCAGGACATGAACCGCGGTCGACTACGTGGGAGTCCAGCGACATAGCCATGACACTAACTGCTGGTTCCCATGAGGAGGAAAATTCTTATGACGAAAATCATTGCACCAGGGGCTTCATTTGGGGGGGGAATTAATTCCTTTTAACAAACTTTTCTAGAAAATGGAAGAGGAAATACTTCCAACTTATTTTATGAGGCCATTATCACCCTGAAAGCAAAATTAGACAAAGACATTAGAAGAAAAATGCTGACCAACATCCCTTACAAATTACATTCAAAGGGAACCAGCAGATAGCATAATGGTTACATCGCTGGACTCACACGTAGTTGACTATGGTTCGAGTCTTGGACCCAGCAGCTTGAACTCACGCTGGGTGTGTGCACGTGCATGCCCAAAATCCTGAGAAGAGACTAGAGGAGAAGGGATTGCAACATGGCCACCCATCCCCCAAGGGAGTGATTTCTGTCACTATCTCCAGCAATCACATGTGCCCTATAGTAAAAACCTCTCTTAAAAAAAAAAAAAAAAAGTTATATTCAAGGGCTAGCAGGTGAAACTATGATTAAGGTGCTGGACTCCCACGTGGCTGACCATGGTTTGAGTCCTAGACCTGGTGGCTTGTGGTTTGCTTTCTCACTTTCCCTCTTTCTCTCTGGTCAAGTTAGTAATAATAAATAAAATATTGTTTTAAAACATTATGTTCACAAATCTTCAGTAAAATGGAGCAAACTGAATCCAGAAATATATAAAAAGGATTATATGCCATGATTAAGTTGGATTTATATCAGGAATTCAAGGTTGGTTCAATGTACAAAAATTAACCCATATATTGTTAATAAAGGAGGAAAAAAACCTACATGACTAAATAAATACAGAAAAAGATTCACAAATTCTAATAATCTTTCATAAAAGAAAGAGAGAAAAACACTCAACAACTAGGGATAAAAAATAATTTTCTCAACCTGATAAAGGGCATCTGTAAAACCCCGCAACTATGTACAACTATTATATGTCGATTTAAGGGTATTTTTTTATAGACCACAGATTAGTTTATTTTTAACACCCATCATGCCATGAATTCATAGTGAATAGGTTCCAGAGCTCAGGCTCCTTTCCATTGGTTCTCACAAAGTGTGCTTCTCTGGGTGGAGCAGGCTGGTGCTTTAGTTGCATCCAGGTACCTTTCTTTTTGGCTTCTTTCTTTTTCTGGTCATTTTCCTTCCTTTTAGGAAGCTATCTCTGCTCTTAGAATGCTTAATATGCTCAATACGCACATTGATTCTCTTGGCAAGAATCTTGCCCTTAACTTGTTTGTTCACAACAACGCCAACAGCATGCTGGGTAACAACATTGTAGACTCTTCCAGTTTTGCCATAACATTTGTGGGGCATTCCTTTTTGAACAGTACTCATTCCCTTAATGTCTGCACCTTTCTTGTAGATTCACATATATGTTGCCGAAGGAACAACTCTATGTTTTCTAAAAGGCCTAGAGAACATATTTTGGGTGCCTCTCCTCCCCTTTATGTTCGTCTTTTTGGTTAATTACTGGAAGATGGCAGTTCCGGCCAAAAGGATTTAAGAGTATTTTCAAAAACCATTGCCACAGCCTTTCCTGTTAGGCACGAGTGGCGCGAGGCGAGGGTCGTGCACGCCGACTTCTCGTTCTCAACGTGAAGACAGCTCGACTGCCAAGATGGTCAATGTACCTAAAACTCGAAGGACTTTCTGTAAGAAATGTGGCAAGCATCAGCCTCACAAAGTGACCCAGTATAAGGAGGGCAAGGATTCTCTGTATGCTCAAGGGAAGAGATGCTATGACCGGAAACAGAGGGGCTATAGTGGGCAGACAAAGCCAATTTTCCGGAAGAAGGCTAAAACCACAAAGAAGATTGTCCTAAGGCTTGAGTGTGTTGAACCGAAATGCAGATCCAAGAGGATGCTGGCCATTAAAAGATGCAAACATTTTGAACTGGGGGGAGATAGAAGAGAAAGGGCCAGGTGATCCAGTTCTAAACTTTGAGATTGCTTTGTTCTTTTAATTTTGAGCAGAAAATGCTGAAGATACAGAAAATTTACCCATAGAAAAATAAATGGTGATATTCTTAAAAAAAAAAATTGCCACAGGGCCAGCAGGTAGCATAGTGGTTAGGATGATGGACTCCCACATGGCCAACCTTGGATCGAGTCCTGGACCTGGCAGCTTGCTGTCTCACTTTTTCTTTCTCTCTCTCTCAAACACATGTGCCATACAGCAAAAGAAATAATAATAATAATAATAAATAATTCTTTTAAAAATATGTGTGTGTGCATATGTATATATTAAACTCTGCCACAAACACACCAAATGATGAAAGATTAAATATTTCCTTCAAGTCAAGAACAAGACAAGGATGTTCACTTGCCACTTTTATTTATCTTCATTCTAGAGTTTCTATCAGGGCAAGGGAAAAAAAGAAGTAAATTTGAAAACAAGCAGTAAAATATCTCCATTTCAGATGATGCAATCTTGCATTTCTTGGAATATTCTTTTAAAAAAAAACATAAAACATTTTTAGAATCATTTAAAAAATCAGCAAGGTTTCAGGATTATATATATATATATATAAATCCAATAAATAAAAAAACTAATATAAAACATATATAAAAATCCATTATATTCCTACACAAAAGTAACTGTAATTGGTAAATTAAAACAATTCCATTTTCAATAGAATCATAAAGTACCTAGGAATAAATTTATCAAAAAAAGTGAAGACATGTACAGGTGTAAAAATTTGTACACTTGGAAACTATAAAACATTGTTGAAAAATTCAAGGAATACCTAAGTAAATGAAAAGACTCTCCAAATTGATCTATAGTTTCAATGTAATCCCTATGAAAATCCCTTCTTAGCAGAAATTGACTTTTTTTCTAAAATTTGTATATAAGTGAAAGCAATTCAGAATAGACAAAACAGTTTTTTAAAAAGAAGAGTAAAGTTCTTCATTGTCCAACTTGAAAACTTACTATAAAGCCACAATAATTAGGGCCAGCAGATGGTGTAGTGTTTATGGTTACTGGATTCTCACCTAGGTTTGAGTCCCAGACCCCACAGCTTCAAAATTATGTTGGGCGTGTGTGTGTGTGTGTGTGTGTGTGTGTTTGTGTGTGTGTTGTGCCCATGATCCCAGGAGGAGAATGGAAGAGAAGGGATTGTGGTGTGGCCATCCTCCCAGAGGGTGATTTCTCACTTTCCTTCTCACTATCTCTGTCTCTCCTTCTCTGAGTGAATGTACATGCTCTATGGCAAAAACCTCTAAAAAAATAATAAAACTGTAAAAATTAAAAATAAGACAGTATGGGTACCAACTGATGGCATAACGGTTACATCGCTGGACTCCCTCATGGTCGACTATGGTTCAAGTCCCAGACCTGGTGACTTAAAACTCATGTTGGGCATGTGGGCATACATGCCCAAGCTCCCAAGAGGAGAATGGAGAAGGGACTATGGTGTGGCCATCTCCTCTAAGGATGCTTTCTTGCTTTCTGTCTCTCTGTCTCTGGTGAGTGCATGCACCCTATATGAAAAAAATCTCTCTCTCTAAAAAAAAAAAAGCACCATCTATATGCTAACAGTCACAATTTTGCCTATTTGGTTTTTGTCTATTATATCTTTATACAAGTTAGAGTAGCACAGTAGAGGGGAGAGAGTAGCATGAGATGTATTTGGGAGGTGGGTAGACATGGCAGATCTTGAAGGACCTTACAAGACTGTTTCCTCAAATTAGGCTTGTAATTTAAATCAGATGGGAAACCATCAAAGCATTTTAAGCAGAGGAGAGACAAGATATGATTGATAGCTAGATAGATTTTAAGTATAACTTTATTATTAAACATTTATATAATTACCACATTGAATAAAGAAACATCAAAGACACAAAGCAATACACATCTCTTCCCAATCTCTATCTATTCTAACACCTGTGTAATCAGATTTAAAGAATTGGTTCACGTGATTATCAAGACTGGCAAGTCTAAATTCTGCAGAGGAAGTCATTGTGTTCTATTCAGATCTTCAACTAAATAGGTGAGTCCACTCACAATGGGGAAGGAAGTCTCCTTTACACAAAATCCACTTATTTAAATGTAAATCTCATCCAAGAACATCTTTTTATTGTGTTTTTAAAGAAAAAGAGAAAGCAATCCACCAGGTCCAGGATTTGAAGCACGGCTGGACATTTGGGAATCCAGTGCCTTAACCACCATACCACCTGCTGGTCCCCCCATCTAGCAACATCTTAACAGAAGCCTCAGAATAATATTTATCCAACTATCTGGACACCATAACCCAGCCACGCTGATACATAAAATTATTCATAACAACTTTATGTTGACAAGAAACTGCAGTAGGAGAAAGGACAGAGACAGCGAGCCAGATGGGGGGATACTGCAATGATTCATCTGAGAGACGGTGGTAGTTTGGATCAAAGGGTTCGTAATAAAGATGAGAGTTGCTCAGATTTGGAATAGTTTGAAGACTGAGATGACAGAAACTGTCAATGGACTGTATATAGTGAGAAAAAGGAGAATCAAAGATGACTCTAGGAGCTAGGTGGTGGCACAGTGATGGTGCAGCTGAACCCACATGAAAAAGTTAAGTTTGCATCCTAGCACCTCCATGAGCATGTGTGCATATGCCTGTGCTGAGTCAGCTGAGACTAGGAGCGGACCATAGAGTAGGGACCTTGTTGGGGTCCTATCTCTGTGTGTATGTGTCTCTTTTTCATAGGAGAAATAAGTAAGTTTTAAAAAACAAAACAAGGCCTTTTGAGTCACTCTTTCTCTGTCCACTCAGGCCCGCTCCTAACTCTCAGGAGTGTTCTTTTACTTAATAAACTGAACTGGAATGAGCCGATGGCATAGCGGTTACATTGCTGGACTTGCACACGGCCTACTCCAGTTCAAGTACAGACCCAGTGGATTAAAAGTCACACCAGATGTGTTTGTGTATGCCCAAGATCCCAGGAAGAGAATAGAGGAGAAGGGACTGTGGCATCATCATCCCCTCTGGGGGTTGATTTCTTACTTTCCCTCTCACTGTCTTTCTCTCTCTCTCTCTCTCTCTCTGGTGAGTGCATACACCCTAAGGCAACAATCTGTCAAAAAATCAAAAGGAAGTAAGATAAAGAAACTATCCTTTGCTTTTGTTATTGATGCATTTCATTCAATTCTTTGTTCAAAAATTAACATAATGTCTCATAATGAAGATTCATCTGCCTCTGTTGGAAAACTTGAAGAATGTACTGTCCAAGAGTTTACCTCAAAACCAGAGAGTAAAATCTGCAGATTCTTGCTTCAAGTGCAAGACCAGACACTGGGCAAGACACTACACCCAGTCACCTCCTGGGCCCTGCTATCAGTGCTGTGATATGGGAAATGATCCCTGCCATCTGAGAGCTGAATGTCTGTTCTCCAAAAAGGAGGAACCACCAGTCAAAGCCCTTGTGAGCCAAGAAGAAATTGATGAGGCCTGGGGAGATACTCCTGTCTGGAGAAGTCATCGTAACTACTGAGGAACCCCAGAGGCCATAGAATTGCAAATGACTGGACCAAAGGGATACCAATCCCTTGAGACATCCTCTAAATCCTACCATGTATCATCCAGAACCAACGACAGCCTTCCCATGACACACGCTGGGGAGTATCTTGTCAACCTGCCCCTGGTCCCACTCTTCCACCTATAGTAGATCAGGTAGGGCAAGAGTTCCATGATCCCTATAGATAAGGCCAATGCCCCTTTCCAGCATGAAGCAGTTACAGAACACAGACCAACCACTTTCAATTCTCCAAAAAGATTTATGGGGATCATGCCTCTCAAGGGAAAAATGAGGCAGGAAGAAAGCTAGAAAAAGAAACAGAAAAGAGAGCTGGAGTATCTGCTCACATTCCCAGGTAATAAAATCAACCAGGGCAGAAAATTCCCCACTTAAGGACATTTTCAGTGGGGATATCTAGTTGATAATCAATGAGATAAATCAGTGGGCCCGGCCACATTTGATATAGCTAATGAGATAACTCAGTAGGCCCAGCTGCATTTGCCAATGAAATGACTCATTAGGTCCAGCCACATTTGAAATAGCTAATGAAATGAACGAGTGGGCTCAGCCTAATTTGATATATAGCCAATGAGATGAAAGTAATTAGTGGACCCAGCCAATGATCAACCAACTGAGGAATTATAAACCTCATGGAAGGCAATTACCAGTGTCCTTGAGCCACTCTTTCTTTCTTGTGCTTAGGCTCGCTGCTATCTCTTGGGAGTGTACTTTCACACACACAAAAAAAGACTCCAAAGGTTTTGGCCCAGCCAACTGGAAGAATGAAGTTACCATTTTCTGGTAAGAAAGAATGGGATCAATCAGGCTTAGGTCATGAGCTTCAATGCTAAAAAGATGGAGCAGACTCTGACAGGCAGAGTAGGTAGCAGGGAGGATATAGTCACTGCCTCTGGATATAAGGGCATGAGCGAGAGTTCCAGAGGTCACAGTGAAGGACTGGGTAATTTTATCCTGGCTGAGGTAACTCAGAAAAATGACCAGAAGAGTTGACATTTTTAAAATGAGGGGTAAGGAAATCTTTTTTTAATTTTTTTTTTAATTGGTGGAGCGTGGTTGTCATTGGGTGTATGTGCTTGCTGAAGAGAGACAGAGACAGAGGGGGGAAGTGAGAAATGACCTCCAGGGAGGATGGCCACACTACAGTCCCTCCTTCACTATTCTCCTCTTGGGAATTTTGGCATGTATACACATGTGACCGGCATGACTTTCAAGCTACTGCATTCACGACTCAAACTGTGGTGGGTCATGTGAGAGTCTAACACCTTAACTACCACACCATTCTCAACAGCCTGGTAGAGCTACTCTTAGGAGCACCGAACCTCCCAGTGCTCAGCTGAGGCCAAAAAGTCAAGGCAGCTTTTAGTGAATAAGGATCAATACTTAAACATTTGAGCACCTATTCAAAGTCAGGAACTGTTC